GCCAGGCAAGCAGAAATGGCGCACCGTCGCGCGCGGCGGGAATCGTACAGTAGCGGTGGCTTTGCCTCGGCTGAGCACACCCGCGACTCGGTCAGCTGGCTGACGTCGCGGCTGTCGCCAGAATCGGCCCTGGAAGAAGCTCGGTCGGAGCAACTCCAAAGAGCCGACGCCGCCTACAAGAACCACGAGCTAGGCGCCAACCATGTTGAAGGCCGTGCTATACGGGTGTCAGGCACCGGCACGAGCCTAGATCCCGCTATTGACCCCGAGGAGGGTGATTTCAGCGAGGAGCAGGCAGAGGCTTGGAACCGCACGCTACGCAGGCTCTGGGTACGCCAGTCACAGCGGATTGGCAAGGGCAACAAGCCGCAGTGGCGTGTGCAGCAGCTGCTGACTCGACACCTTGAGCGGCACGGCGAGTGGTTCCTGCTGATTGGTGACAGGTACGATCCCTTGTCGCCAACAACCCTCAAGATTGAGGTGATTCATCCGAACCGAGTGGAGTCGCCGCCAGAGAAGGCCGGCGATCCGACAGTGCGGATGGGAGTTCAGCTAAACGGCGACGGGGAGGCGGTCGGCTACTACGTGCGAGATTCGCACCCGGGGGACACGCGAGACAGCCGCGTTAGCTATCGATACGTTCCATCCTACTACGCCAACGGCCTGCCCCGCCTGCTTCATTACTTTGAAGAGACTGAAGCTGGCGTGCACCGCGGATACCCCCGCATGCAGGTCTCCTTCAAGCGGATGAAGGACTCTGACGAGTACAGCGCGGCGGAGCTCGACCGTAACTACAACGCGTCGTGCAACGTGGGGGTTATCCACACCGATGCGGATGAGGATGACGTCCTAGATGATATCAGCCCCGGCGGACTTGTCACCAACTACCGTGGCGAGCGGCTTCGCACTATGCAGCCCGGCGAGTACCAGTATGCCGGCGTTGCTGACAGGGTCACCTTCAACAATCCGCAAGGAGCCCCTGCCACGTTCGGCGAGTTTCAGATGTTCCAGGCGACGATGATTGCCGCCGGAGCAGGCACCAGCTACCCGTTTATATCGAACGACTTTCGTGGGCTGAACTACAACACACTGAAGGTGGTTTGGAACGCCGAAGAGGCCGCGTGCGATGTCGCTCACCAGGCGCAGGCTGATGCGTTGGTTTGGGTGTATTGGCACTTTGTGAACCGATGCATTCTGGTGGCCAACGCAATCGACGTTGAGGTTTCTGCGTACCGATCAGAGCCCTGGGTGTACTCCGCTGTGCGGGTTATCCCGCCTGCTCGCCGGTCAATCGACCCGGCTCGAGAGGACAACGCCGAAATCCGCCTCATTGAGAACGGAATCAAGCCGGCCAGCGATCTCGTTGAGCGGAAGAACGGCCAACCGGCGCCAGCGGTCTACAAGCGAATCAAGCGAGACAAGGCGCAGCGGGAGGCTGAGGGAGTTGCGCCGGTCGAGAGGGCGCCGTCAGGGCAGACCATGCCGGGCGACCTCAACGACGAATCCAGCGAAGCCAATAGCGAACGGCAGGAGGTAGGCAATGACGCCTGACATCGAGGCCATATCGCAGCCGCTACGGTACTACCGGACCACGCCGACGAAGGCGGCCGAGAAGCTGCCGGTCGACCGGAAGGGCGGAAAGTTTGGCGCCGGCGTGATCCGCAATGCGTCCCTGCTGACGGTGGGTGAGGCGTTGGGGCACTACGAATGGGTGGACGCCGAGTTCACCGAATCGGTGGCCGCCTACGTCAACGGCCTCAACAAAGGCGCCAAGGTGCGATTTACGCACCCCAGCTTGTCGGGCGATGGACTAGGCCGGTTCATGGGGCGGGCGTTCGACGCCCAGTACATCGCTGAAACGGGTCAGGCTGTCGCCGACATTCATCTAGCGAAGTCGTCGCACGAGACGCCGGACGGTGACCTGGGCAAGTACGTCATGGACCTGGCGGAAGAGGACCCGGAAGCGTTCGCCATTTCGATTGCGTTTGAACGTGACCGCAAGGCCGAGCGCGTCTTCGCTGAGGAGCACACGGAAGAGGACGAGTTTGCGTCGCCAGACGAGGCAAACGCCAACAACTATCCGCACGTTCGGTTGAAGGCGTTGATTGCCGCCGACTTCGTGGACGAGCCCGCCGCCAACCCCGGCGGCCTGTTCCACCGCGGACACGAGATCGCCGCGGAGGCCGACAAGCTTTGCGCGTATGCGTTGGGGCTCTCGGATGAGAAGCCCGACACGGATTGTTTTTCTGCTGACGCGGACCGCGTACAAGCGTTTGCTCAGCGTTTTCTTAACTCAAGGGAACTGACGATCATGTCAAAGAACCCCGAGACGACGCCCGAGCAAAAGCAGGGCGAGACCGTTACCAAGGAGCAGTATGACGCCTTGGCGGCAAAGCTGGACGACGTGGTCAACAAGTACGAAGCCCTGTCGGACAAGTACAGCAAGGCCGTCGACGAGAAGGTAGAAGCCGCTGCCGATGAGCAGGAGGCTGAGGCGAAGTTCTCCGCCGAGCAAAAGCGGGTGGCGGACCTCTACAAGCTAGCCACCTCCGCTGGCTTGGACGATGCAAACGGCGTCGCTGAGAAGTGGGCTGAGCAGGGCCTGTCGGTGGTGGAGGCAAAGGCGGCGCTTGCCGACAAGATGCTGGCCGCCAATGGCCTGACTGACGACGGAGGCCAGCCAGAGGAAGACCCGCACGCGGGGCTAAAGGCTGCGTACCGCGCCAACCCCTACTACAAGGCCGAGGGCATCAGCGAGGAAGACTTCGTAGCAATGCAGCTCGAGCTGGACGAAAACGGCGGCCTGTAGTCGGGCCATTCGCTAGCAACTCCGCAACCTATACACAAGGAGCCTGAAAATGGCTGTTACTACGGGCCAAGTCGTTAAAAGAAGCGGGCGCGACGGAAAGGTTCGCTCGCTCGGCGTCGCTGCCGGAAAGGTGCTTTACGAAGGCACCCTGTGCTTCATGGATGCTGGCGGTGACGCCACCGACGTGAAGGTCGACGGGAGCACCGTCTTTCTGGGTGTTGTCCGGGAAACGGTCGACAACTCGGCAGGAGCCGATGGAGACCTCGACGTTGAGTTTTGGACCGATGGCGAGTTCGACTTGCCGTCCTCAAGTCTCGCCCAGGGCGACCAGGGCGACGCGATGTACGCGACGGACAACTACACGACCACGAAGACCAGCACCAGTAACCCCGCGATCGGCAAGCTCACTGAGGTGCTCTCGGCAACGCTTGGGCGAATCGAAATCAAGGGCCTCGGCGAGGCGTAGTCGCCGCTGGAGCTGACCACCACTCTTTCAATAAACACGACCAAGGAGCCAAGTCATGGCACTCAATACTGCAGCCCGACAAGCGAAGGTAGCTCGCTTGCAGCGGGTGTTCAGAGAGGAGCGGGGCAACTTCAAGCCGTTCTACCAGAAAATCTGCACGGTAGTGCCCAGCACCGGATTCGATGAGGAATACGGGATGTTGGGGGCGGCGCCGGCGGTCCGGGAATGGCTTGGGGATCGCAAGTTCCACACCATCCGTTCGGCGGACTTCACGATCAAGAACAAGGATTGGGAAGTTAGTGAGGTGGTGCCAAAGGGTTAGGAACAACTGGGCAGGGATGCCTCCAGCCTTTCAACGGGAATTCAATCATGGCCAGACGGCAATCG